CTGTAAACAGCAAACATTGATCAGCAATTAATCATTAACATCTCGAATAGAGTAAAACTGTGCTTCATCAACAGAAATCAAACTGCAATTGCTTAATTATGTGTAGTTTATGCGCATAGAGAATTAGTTCTCTTATTTTATATGCACTTGAAGTGCTATAATAAAATCACAAGCTCCACATTTATGTTTTTTTTAAACTGTTTTGCCAAATTGCTTGTTGTTTTTGCTGAGTATTATTGCAACTACAGGTATGGTGTACAGGTTTGTTTTTACAAACTACAGCAAAATGTAATAAATGTGGCAAATCTTTTGTATCATGCACACTTTCTGTAAACACCTTTGTATATATTTATGCACTGCAGTGGTTATAATGCAGAAAACTTGCTAGAAACTTGCGTTCTGTGAATGAACGTCGCCTCGTGGTTCCATCCCAAAGAGGGAAGAAATCACTTTCGTGAACGCTCACGCTCAATCTGCCCAGTTGGTGGAATGAACTCCCTAACTGCATCAGAACAGCAGAGTCACTCGCTATTTTCAAGAAACGACTAAAAACTCAACTATTTAGTCTCCACTACACTTCCTAATCTGCAATTGTCTCTGAATATCACACTAACTGTACCAAAAAAAAAAAATAAAAATAAATACTAATACTACTAATACTTCCCTTCTTAGACTTTACAGACCTGAAACTTGCCAATAGCACTTATTTATTGTTGCTCTTAGTTGTGTAAATTGCTTCCTTGTCCTCATTTGTAAGTCGCTTTGGATAAAAGCGTCTGCTAAATGACTAAATGTAAAATGTAAATGTTATTTTTGTTGAGATTACTGCAATTATAGGTATGCTATACAGGTTTGTAATAAATATGGCCCTAAATCTTTTGTATCATACACACTTTCTGCAAACACCTCCTCTGTGCTGTTTATTTAATGTACTGCAGTGATTATGGTGCATAAATATTCAGATAGCTCCAGTCTCTTGCTGTTGTGTTTATAGTGACCGATGCGGGGAGGACCCGAATCAGAAAGTAATCCATGGGGTTATCAACTCCTTTGTTCATGTTGAACAGTACAAGAAAAAGTTTCCTCTAAAGGTAAGTTTTTTCACTATTTGTAACTCTTTTCTTCATTATTATGTACATGTGTAAAGCAAAATATTAATAATATGTCATATTTTATGTAAATATATAAAAAATGTCAAATATTTTGCCTTTTTTGTCATTTTAAAATATGAAATATCAAACTTTTAATCTGCAAAGAATGCATTTAAACGGCTTTAGTAATGTTACAATTAAAATAGAGTTATTAAAATGAACTAAAACCATTTTTATGAGCTGAAATAAAAAAGTTAAATTGAAATAAGATAAAATATATCTAAAAATGTAACTTATTTGCTTTAATTTTAACTGTTCAACAAAGAAACATATTTGCTATTTTAACTTGATTCTCTAAAAAATACTGCTGATCAGTGTTTCTATTACTGATATAAAATAATAATAATAATATTTAAATAATAATACTAATATTAATAATAATTGGTTAATTAGTGACTTACATCAATTGGTTTAATGAGTAAAAAAAGCCTCTGATTTGAAAGCTTCACCCTATTCTTTTCTTCATCCCAGTTTTATCAGGAAATCTTCGAGGGTCCGTTCCTGACGAAAACCGGCGAGTATTACAAACAGGAAGCCTCCAATCTGCTGCAGGAGTCTAACTGCTCCCAATATATGGAGAAGGTGAGATGCGTTTCATTTAGTTTACTTTATTTAGTTTACTTCAGTAAATACAGCCTGAAGAAAACAGAAACGGTGAAATAAAATATTCAATAAAAAAGTAGTTGACAGTCATGTATGTTACTTATATGAATATAAGATACAAAAGAATAAGTTACAGTGGGGGAATTAAGTATTGAACGAACACGTCACCATTTTTCTCAGAAAACATATTTCTAAAGGTGATGTTGACTTGAAATTTTGCACTGGATGGTGAAAATCCGTAAGTGGAAAGCAAACAAATCTAATTAGTTTATAAATTATGCATAATGAAATGAAATGATACAGGGAAAAAGTATTGAACACATAAGGAAAGGGAGGTGTAGGTCAGCAGTGAAAGCCTAGACAGCAGCTGAAATCTCTCAGTAGTTCTTCAGCAAGCCTCTGCCCTTCCTCAGTGTAAATGAAGATCAGCTGCTTCAGTCCAACATCTACATTAGCAGGAGGATGAAGATGAAATCAGGGTGGACATTTCAGCAAGACAATGATCCAAAACACTGACAAGGAGACTCTCAGATGCTTTCAGAGAAAGACAATCAAGCTGTAGAATGGCCCAGCCAATCACCTGATCTCAATCCAATAGAAAATACAAAATAAAGCTCAGATTTGTCAGACGAGACCCACAGAAGCATCAAGACTTTTACACTCTGTTGAAGTCTGTGAAAATCTCACAGCTGAGAAATGCATGAGACTTTACTTTATTAAAGTTGCCATCACCAAAAAAAAGCCTTTAATATAAGGTATTAAATACATTTTAGTAGTACAGCTCTTTCTCCTTGTGTCATTCCATTATTACACATAACTCAGTTTTCTGATTAGTTTTGTTTTATTTTTATGCTTATATTGTTTGGGTTTTTGTCTAAATCTGGTTCAATTCCATGTCAACATCTCCTTTAGAAATACTATTCCCAGAAAAAAACATGACTCGCTCAATGCTTATTTTCCGCGCTGTAAATAAAGATTCAGTGTAAAATCATTTATAGGTTTTTTTTGTCTAGTTTTTTGTAGCTTTTCTCTGGTCATTTATTCCAGCTAACTTGTCACTGATTTATATTTACCTATTTATGGGTTTCCATTACCTTTCAAACTGTGCAAATTAAAAATAGAGAGCCTGAGAGCCCAAATCCATCTGCAAAGCATCTGAGCTGGTGGGTAATCACCAGCATGCATTAACACACTCTTTCCCTTGCAGCTGCATACATTTCACATCAATTCCCATATATCATAAAAAATTTGGCGTCGTTTTTTTAAAGTTATTCGAAAAGGAATATTAGCAAAACTGCACTGAAACTGTTTTTTTAACAATGGGGTATATGCCGAAGCATGCTATTAGGACTTTTAATTTGCCAGTAACCTGGGTTAAGCGCTTTCGGTGAACTGAATGTCATTGCAAAATCAGCGCGTTTAAGGTCTGTTTTCTTCTAAAATCAGCAATATCCAAGTGGGTCTCAGATTGTACAAGAAGCACTGCATTAAATTACATTTCCCCCCGCCATGTCTTTAAAATATAAACATTTATTTGACCCCAGTTTATTCAATGGAGCTTCTGCGCTAGCCTGCCGATTGTGACGGGCGCGTGTGAGTAAACGGCTTTTTGTCTCGTTTTACTCTTGAGCAACTAAATGAATGCCCGAGTATGTTTAACTGATTGTATTTTAACTGCATTACAACATCGATGCTGTTGAAGGTATTGTATAAAATGGAAAAAAACTAACAATAACAGCTCACCAGAAGTTTATCCGCATGGGAACAACACTTGCTCGGCATATAGCCTATTGTTTTATTTACAGGTCAACAGCGCACAGAACTGTCATATGATCATTCTTTAAAAATGTGGCACATCCACATCATTTGTGCAAGTTTGTAATAGAAATGTTGTGTATGTGTGTTGTGTTTTGTGACAGGTTTTGGGCAGGTTGAAAGATGAGGAGGTGAGATGTCGGAAGTATCTTCACCCCAGCTCTTACTCCAAAGTCATCCATGAATGTCAGCAGAGGATGGTGGCCGATCACCTGCAGTTCCTGCACGGAGAGTGTCAAAATATCATCCGGCAGGAGAAGAGAGACGGTCAGCACTCCATACACTCACACACACTGCCAATGCTCACGCATCGCTTATGGCTTGATGTTTGTCATTTCTATTGTTTATTAATAAATTGAATTTATGTAATTATCCATTGTTTAATTCTCGTTGTTTTGACTCAGATTAGGTAAGAAGAACTGAGCTCTTGCCATATTTTACTACCATTTCATTCATTCATTCATTTTCTTGTCGGCTTAGTCCCTTTATTAATCTGGGGTCGCCACAGCGGAATGAACCTCCAACTTATCCAGCACATTTTTACGCAGCAGATGCCCTTCCAGCCACAACCCATCACTGGGAAACACCCACACACTCATTCACACACATACACTACGGACAGTTTAGCCTACCCAATTCACCTGTACCGCATGTCTTTGGACTGTGGGGGAAGTCCGAGCACTCGGAGGAAACCCACGCAAACACGGAGAGAACATGCAAACTCCACACAGAAATGCCAACTGACCCAGCCAGGGCTCGAACCAGTCACCTTCTTGCTGTGAGGCGACAGCACTACCTACTGCGCCACCGCTTTGTTCTTATTACCATTTTCTAAACTATATTAACTTAACCTTGATACTGTGAGAAGAGTTGATGGTGTCTGAATAAGTGTTAGTATCCTGATCTGTGGTCTGTGTGTTTTCAGACATGGCGAACATGTACACTCTCCTGCGGGCCGTGTCCAGTGGTTTACCGCACATGATCCAGGAGCTGCAGGTCCACATCCATGACGAGGGGATCAGAGCCACCATAAACCTCTCTCAGGAAAACGTACGTCTGAATCTGTGCATGAGACTGAAAACTGCTTTATTTGACTCTTGCCTCAAAGGGGGACTGTTAGGGGGTGTGTGAATACAGGCAAAAGTGTGTGAATTTAACAAGTTTCTAATGGTAAAACTTAAATAATTCTATTATTTATGAGTCTGCAGAAACACTTTGATTGACATTCTCCCTTTGTACGTGTCATCAGAGGAAAGCCCCGCCCACTAGTGACCATCTCTCCCTTGTTAGCACAGGACATTAGTCTTGTTTTTGATTCTGCCACTATGCTGACGCACAGGCATTTGTAACTCCGCCCTCTTTTAAAAGATCTCATTTGAATATAAAGTGACCGTCTATTACACCCCAAGTCTAGGGGAAAACAACATGGGGATAATAAACGGAGAACAAATGTGTTGTGGTGGTGGATTTTCCAAACAAAACAAAAACTGAATACAAAAGATCCCCTTTGGTCGACAACCAAACTCGGTCACTCAGTTGAGAGTATATGACTAGATTTATTATAGCAAAAAAGTAGTAAATACAAATGAGCATCTCTTCAGGGTGGCCACAGGCCAAAATAACAAACGAAAGAATCTGCAAAGTAAATGAACTAAATTACCTATAAATATATAAAGGAAATTACTGGAAGCTCACCTTTCTCTCTAAACATAAACATAGTCAAAAGTAATTAAATAAATAGGCAGGCCACCCCTACAAGCTCAAACTCTCAAAAAAGAAGTTGAACGTATGAACAATGGTACAAAATTGTATGTTAGTTGTCAGCCGGAGGGGTAATGGAAATCCAGGAGCTCCACTCCAAGCAACGGTCGCAGCACAAATGAGCTCGAACCCTGCCGGAAGCTTTTTTATATACAGGCCTCCGAGACCAACAGCCAATCAGAGCATGAATCACACCGAAATTAGAGCCTATGGCATAACAGAAAAAAACAGCAAGAAGGCGGAACAAAGAAAAAGACATGCAATACGCAATAAAAATAAATAAATAAATAAATAAATTTTAGTTGTAACACCGTCACTGAAATGTTATAATTAGGATGAAAGCCTAAAATGGGTCAGTTTTAAATAGTTATAAAACATTATCTGTGTGATATTGTGAGCTGAAACCTCATGTACAAGTCTAGGGACATCAGAGGCTTATTTTATATATTTGTTAGAACAGGCATAATAGGTCTCCTTCAATGCTTTTCTTCTGCTCTCTGTCCTGCAGATGCCAACACTGTTCGTGGAGTCGGTGTTAGAGGTTCATAGTAAATTTGTCCAGTTGATTAACACAGTATTGAATGGGGACCAACACTTCATGAGTGCACTTGATAAGGTAAATATCTATCTATCCATCTATCCATCTATCCATCCATCCATCCATCTATCCATCCATCTATCCATCTATCCATCTATCCATCTATCTATCCATCTACCCATCTATCCATCTATCCATCCATCCATCCATCCATCCATCCATCCATCCATGTTTGTTTGTTAATCATATTTATAAAAGATTGTGTAATAGAATATGATGCTGTATTGACTGTAAAACTGAAAATAATTTTAAATAATTCAAATGCAATTATATAAAATAATTAATAAACTAATGCATAATAATGAATAAATTTAACATTATAATCATATAATTGACAGCAAAAATACAACAAATATATTAAGTATTTATTAAAATACTAGTACTAATATAGTATTTACTTAAAATATTAAGTATTTTTTTATAATAAACGTATGTGTGTGTGCGTGCGTGCGTGCATGCCTGCGTTCGTGTGTGTGTGTGTTTGTGATTGTATTTGTGTGAAAATATGCAAATAATATATATAGATATATATAGTTATAAAAATAATATAATATATTTAAAGAAATAAAAGCCAGTGTTCTTCAAAACATTACTTTTTAGAAATAATAAAAGGATGTTATCAAAGCAGTTATTTGAGAAATTGTTTAATATGATAATGAATTGGCATAATTCAGTTATGGTTAGGGCCAGCTAGATTCTGCCCACATTTTTCACTATTTCTGTGGAGAATTTTGTAAAAGTCTGCGGATTTATGCAGAATTATTTTAGTAGTATCATAACTAAAAACTGAACATGTGAAATAAAAAATAACATACATTATTTTATTTAATGTTTACAATGCAAATGCAATCAGATCCACTTATTTGGTAAAAAAAGCAAGTATCATAATACATCTCCTAAGACTGAAAATATTACTTTACAAACTGCACTGTAAATAAATCTTATGAACAATTAAATATTAGTATTAATGTATTAAAATAGTATTAGTGAAATTAATTAAACTGATTAAATATAAATATGCACACATTTACACAAGTAAATACATAAACTCAATAATGGGCAAAACATTTGCAGATTTTTGCACGCACAGATTCCGTGTGGGCCTAGTTATGGTATAAAAAACTCAGTACTTTTGAAAAGCGCATTGTGATATAATATAATATAATATAATATAACATAATATAATATAATATAATATAATATAATATAATATAATATAATATAATATAATATAATATAATATAATATAACATAATATAACATAATATAATATAATATAATATAAAGAAATGTAATGTAATATAATATAATATAATATAATATAATATAATATAATATAATATAATATAATATAATATAAAATAAAATAATGTAATGTAATGTAATATAATATAATGTAATATAAAATAATATAATATAATGTAATATAATGTAATATAATATAATATAATATAATATAATGTAATATAATATAATATAATATAATATAATATAATATAATTAATATAAAATAATATAATATAAAATAATGTAATATAATATAATATAATATAATATAATGGAATATAATATAATATAATATAATATAATGTAATATAATATAATATAATATAATATAATATAATATAATATAATATAATATAATATAATATAATATAATATAATATAAAATAATATAATATAAAATAATGTAATATAATATAATATAATATAATATAATATAATATAATGTAATATAAAATAATATAATATAATGTAATATAATATAATATAATATAATATAATATAATATAATATAATGTAATATAAAATAATATAATATAATATAATATAATATAATATAATATAATATGAAATAATGTAATATAATATAATATGAAATAATGTAATATAATATAATATAATATAATATAATATAATATAATAAAATTTAATTTAATATTATGTAATTTACTTGCCATCCATGCCCTTTATAAATTCACCTGTAAATACTAATGTACAAAACAAAAAACAACATGAATTTAATTATTAAAATAATAACTTTATCCAGTCCAAACTGCACAAGTATTCTGTCTGTAGTCCAGCAGGTGGTGTCTGCTATACAGAATGCTCATATGAGTGTTTGTGGTTTCTGGTGTGTGATTTTTATTGCTCGTTTTCCTGCAGGCCTTGACTTCAGTAGTGAATTACAGAGAGCCCAAATCCATCTGCAAAGCCCCTGAGCTGGTGGGTAATCACCGTTTACATGCACACGACTAAATAAACATACTGAACGCACACATTAACTCTCTTTCCCTGCAGCTGGCGAAGTACTGTGACAATCTGCTGAAGAAATCGGCTAAAGGAATGACGGAGAACGAAGTGGAGGACAAACTGACCAGCTTCATCACCGTCTTCAAGTACATCGATGACAAAGACGTCTTTCAGAAGGTGAGGCTGGGATTAGGGCTGTCACAATAATCAATATATGGACTCATCGCACAACACATGGACATGACTTCAAACATTTTGGGTGATGCAATAGTTATCGCTCATACATAAACACCAATTCTAGCAACCTTTAAGCTGATTGTGCGACACCTCTATCTCTATTGGAGGTGTCAGTATGGTTAAAAAACAGTATGGTATTTACCAGAGATTGGAGTAAGTCGCACATGTGCAAGTCTCAAGTCATAACCTTCAAGTCTCAAGCAAGTCAAGTCAATTTTTGTCAGACTAAAGTCACGTCAAGTCAAGCTGTAGCTTGGTCTAGCAAGTCACTTTCAAGTCAATCAAATCAAGTCAATCCTCTTTCTTTGTCAAACTAACAATAAAAACCTACTTTTAAATTTTTTTACTACCTTTCTATTATATATTTTTCATATTATTCAACCTCCTTTTAATTGTCAAAATCAGAGTTTTAAGCTTCAACAATATAAATAACATTTAAAAATATTATTTATCTGGTATCTATTAATGTATCTTAATGAAGGACTAGTGAAATAAGTTAAATATTTTATAGTTATTAATGTGAGACTATTATCAATATTATTTTTTTATACAAAATACTACATTTCGCAGAGTATCAGTGTCATTTCCACCACAACACTGTAATGTCACTTTAAAAAGTTTGTGTGAAAGATTATTGAGGTGGTTTCTATGAAAATGAATCAATTGAGAACATGTTCAAGATGGAGGGAATTTCAATTTTTATCAACAACACTTGAAGAAAAATCAAGGTAAATATTGCTTGATAAGGAAATGCATTTATTCTACGTCATATTAAATCATGTTGTACCTTCAAAGATGTTCTTAAAAACCAAACGAAATGAAAGTCAATAAGAGTGTTTTGTGTACACGAAAGGTTAGTATCAATTCAAAGCTAATCGGTGAAGGTATTTTTCATTTTTTTCCACAATAAACTGTTGAAATGTCATTTCCATCACCACACAAATGTATAAAAAATATTTAAAAAGTTTTCATCACACATTTAAAAATGTATTCACAATGTTTAAGTTCATGCTCAATTTAATATACAAATTCAGTTTATTTATTTTCTAATAAACTCCTAACCAAATTAATATTACATTTTAGAGTGTGACAGGTGTACAATTCAGCATACAACTCATTTATTTAATTGACAAATGTATAATTATTATATGTATTGTGGAAAGATTGGTTAAACTAGATACAAAAATGATGTTTGGCTGCCATCATTTATATCATTTTGAAATAAGCTGTATATTGAGATGTGGTGGAATTAACATTTGTTCAGTTCACGATGTAAAAAAATTTCTCTTCTTTTCTAAGTTTGTCTTCTTACAGATCTTAAAACTAGACAAATTGTTCAAACTTATGAGGCTGTGTTACATTAATTCTGAATAAGTTTTTTTAACTCAACTTCACAAGGCTAAAAGTGCGCGTAGTTGAAGAATGGCTCATATAAACATACACATATAGATATATATATATAAATGGGAAGCACTGACTGGACTAATGTTATACAAATAAACTATTATTCGCCAAAACGGAAACTAAAAACAGCAGAACTGATTTCATAACTTACAATTTTTGATGTGATTTGAAGTGTCTAATGAAATTACAAGTGGTGGTAATTGAATCGCTGGTTTTTGAGTTGCATGCTTTGCATGTTGCTGATCTTTTGAAATGAATCGTTCTACTGAATCTAATGACTCGTTTTAAGTGGTTCTTCTTAATAAACCGATTAATCCAGTTCTGCAAATCCAACTGATTCTTTTAAAATGGTTTGCATTTCCAATAAACACTTAAAGTTACCTACTTTTAATTTTGCCTGGCACTCCCTCTGACATGGAAAAAACAATATCTCAAGTTTAGACTTAAAGAGTAATCAACTCGAGTCAGGAATCGGTTGCAGTGCTTTATTCAGAACAGTACAGAGAAGCTGTTTCAGACCGATCTGAGAACCGATGAGCTGTTAATACTGTGCATGTGTGACTTAAAACTTTTGTTTTGTTTTTAAATGCACAATATATAACAAACAGTTATGCATTTAACAAAAACAAGTTATTACTAGTCATTTACCTCAAGTCCAAGTCAAGTCTATATATATATACCCACACACACACATATATATATATATATATATATATATATATATATATATATATATATATATATATATATATGTGTGTGTGTGTGTGTGTGTGTGTGTGTGTGTGTGTGTGTGTGTGTGTGTGTGTATATGTATACACACACACATATATATATATATACATATATATATATATATATATATATATATATATATATATATGTACATACATACATACATATATATACATATATATATGTACATACATACATACATACATATATATACATACATACATACATATATATACACATACTGTATATATGTATATACATGCATACATACACAAACACTCAATTGTGTGCTTATGTATGTGTATATTTAATATGTGAAATTATCAGTTTCATTATATATTGTAATTTAATGTAGTGTAATACAAAAAATGAGATTAAAAACTATTAATACTCACAATATAAGAAAACTAATTTAATAATGCAAATTATCAATACAGGTTTGTGATATAAGCAAAGCTGGCATGAACTGTTGTCCCATCCTTGTCCATGCTAGCACCTTTTAGCATTGTGCTAACATTGTTGTGTTGTAACCATTGCTATGTTGCTTGTCTTGTGCGGTTTTTGAGTTTTAATTGACTCTTGCGGTGTTTTTTACTGTTTACTGCTAGATTTACGCCAGAATGCTTGCGAAGAGGTTAATACATGGGCTTTCGTTATCGATGGACTCAGAGGAAGCCATGATCAACAAGCTGAAGGTACAGTCGTCTCTGTGGTGTAAGAGCTCACTGACATGTCTTGTTATGTCCTGGTTTTGTGCACAGGGGTTTTAGTTGTTGTTTGCTGTTGTGTTGTCGTTGCTGTGATTTAAAGCACTTTGCTTTCCTCGTTTCTTTCCCCTGGTCTGCTCTTGGGTCTTCCAGCAAGCGTGTGGTTACGAGTTCACGAGCAAACTGCACAGAATGTACACAGATATGAGCGTCAGCACCGACCTCAACAACAAATTCAACAACTTCATCAAAACCCAGGAGACGGTAGTGGACCTGGGCATCAGCTTTCAGATTTACGTTTTACAGGTGAGCGAGAGATTTATTAATCATACACAAAATTAGTTTGCTGCAGTGATGTATAGTGTTTGTGTGTGTGTGTGGTGTGTTTTAGGCAGGTGCATGGCCCCTCACACACGTCCCCTCGTCCACGTTTGCGATCCCGCAGGAGCTGGAGAAAAGTGTACAGATGGTAAGAGTTCATCTAACCTTCCTTCATGAGGTTTTAGATCAGTGAACTGAGATTTACTGATGTTTTCTGTTTGCAGTTTGAGTTGTTTTATAACCAGCACTTCAGCGGCAGGAAGTTGACCTGGCTACATTACCTCTGCACAGGTACAGCAGCTCCCATTCACACGTGTACTTCTATTCAGGAACTTTGGGTCTGTACTGTTTTTACTATTCTTACCATTGGTTTGTTTGTCTCAGGTGAGGTAAAGATGAATTACCTGTCTAAGCCGTATGTGGCGGTGGTGACCACCTATCAGATGGCGGTTCTGCTGGCGTTCAACAACAGCGAGACTGTGAGCTATAAAGAACTGCAGGACAGCACACAGATGAACGAGAAAGAGCTCCAGAAGACCATCAAATCTCTGCTCGACGTCAAGATGATCAGCCACGACCTGCAGAAAGTATGTAGTACCCCTTTTTCTGGAACATTCAGATGTCTTTCAAGCTCTACTGATGCTGGTGAGGAAATTAATTATGAATAAATGGGTTGGGACAGAACTCCCTCTTGTCAAGGACTGGATAATCCTGATAATCCTGAAACCATAGCTGTGGGAAATTCTGCTGACCTGTCTTGGCATTGATTATTAATCTATTATTTATTTATTTTGTGTTTTTATTTATTTGTTTCTTTGTTTCTTTGTTTATTTATTAAACTATATATATATATATATATATATATATATATATATATATATATATATATATATATATATATATATATACAGTTGAAGTCAGAATTATTAGCCCCCCTGAATTATCAGACTGCTTTTTTATTTTTTCCTCTTTTTCTGTTTGACAGAGAGCAGATTGTTTCAACATATTTCTGAACATAATAATTTTAATAACTCTTTTCAAATAACTGATTTATTTTGTCTTTGTCATGATGACAGTTAATAATATTTTACTAGATATTTTTCAAGACACTTCTATACAGTTTAACTGACATTTAAAGGCTTCACTAGGTTAATTAGGCTAACTAGGCAGGTTAGAGTAATTAGTCAAGTTATTGTATAATGATGGTTATTGCTTAAAAATATTAAAATATTGCTTAAAGGGGCTAATAATTTTGTCCCTAAAATGGTGTTTAATAAATTAAGAACTGCTTTAATTATAGCCAAAATCAAACAAATAAGACTTTCTCCAGAAGAAAAAATATGATCAGACATACTGTGAAAATTTCCTTGCTCTGTTAAACATCATTTGGGAAATATTTGAAAAAGAAAAAAAATTCAAAGGGGGGCTAATAATTCTGACTTTAAATATATATATATATATATATATATATATATATATATATATATATATATATATATATATATATATATATATATATATATATATATATATATATATATATAAATATTCTTTCCTTAAAAGTACTGTATACTGTTAAAAATATTTATATTTTTATCCTTTTATAAGTGAGTATAGTCACTAATTCTTTGGTGCATTTACACAAAAGTTTTATTAAACAGTTATATCAATTAAAGTAAGAGTGGGGTATTTTAAAAAATACAATTACAAACTAAAAAAATTCTACTTGATTAGTTTATCTCCCCCCCCCTTTTTTTATATAATATTTTTCCTCCAACATATTAGTTTGGGTGGATAAATTTTTACCCTGTGATTTTTTTTTGTTTTTTTTTTTTGTTATATTAGTTCTAGTTTTGGCTTTCTGACTTGTATCTAATGTATGTGTACAGAGGTATTATTATAAAGCATGCTATTAAAAATATTAATTTAAAAAGAGATCTGTGCACTGTACACTACCTTTATCCATTGTTTAATTTTTTAAAGTGCTCATATTATTCACTTTTATATTTCTAATTTTGTTTGAAGGCAAGACTCTGATGGCAGTTTTGAGATTTTGTGTTTTATTTAAATAATCCAAAATATACTTATGTTTCTTTTTTTCTCACTTTATTAGTTTGTGTGTTTAGATTTCAATTATAATGTGCATGTTTAAAGCTAGATCTTTCCATCACAGATCAGAAATCTACACTTCAGCTGCTTTTACATACACCAAACTACACTGTTTTTATACACATATGTTGTCTAATTTATACAGAGGGATTTGTTCTTGCATAATTAGCTTGATAATATACTACATGTATTAGGATTTTTTATCTACTTTTTACCCTATTCCCCTGCAGTGTCTTGCTGTAGGAGCCATAATAATAATAATAATAATAATAATAATAATAATGATAATAATAATAATGGAAATAATAATGATAATAATAATAATAATGATGATGATGATAATAATAATGATGATGATGATAATGATAATAATGATAATAATAATGATAATAATAATAATGATAATAATGATAATAATAATAATAATGATAATAATAATAATAATAATAATAATAATGCATTTTATTTGTAATGCACTTTTCCTAAACCCAAAACGTGTGTTTAAAACACCTTAATGGCACTTTAATCGATATACCAAATTAAATTCAACTCTTCTGTTTGCCTTCAGGAGGAGATCGAGCCTGAATCCACTTTTTCCCTAATTATGAGTTTCACCAGTAAAAGAACAAAGTTCAAGATCACAACATCGATGCAGAAAGACACACCGCAGGTAATGAATCAAGGATTAAACCTCGTCATCTTATTAATCCGCTCAAATTAAACATGTTGTCGTGGTTTGGCAGGAACTGGAACAGACGAGGAGCGCCGTGGATGAAGACCGGAAAATGTATTTACAGGCTGCTATAGTCAGGATCATGAAAGCCAGGAAAGTCTTGAGACACAACGCCCTCATACAGGAGGTGAGTGTGGGAATAATATCCAACGTTTCAGTGTGTAATCCTCACTTGTAGTGTTAGAGGAGTGTGTTCCTGATGCAGAGGCACATCAGATGTGTAAATTCCTGACGGTACAGATCAGATGCGCAGATTCTCTGTGAAATGTCAGGAATGGGAAAGTTTGTCATTGACTGCTGTTTGAACATGTCTGAGGGGCAGACAAGCAGCACACACCACTGTTACACAACTCTGATGTAGACTGTTTTTACTACACGCACACATATATACAGTTGAAGTCTAAATTATTTGCCCTCCCGTGTATTTTTTTTTTCTTTTTCAAATATTTCTCAAATGATGTTTAACAGAGCAAGAAAATTTTCACGGAAATTCCGATAATATTTTTTCTTCTGAAGAAAGTCTTATTTGTTTTATTTCAGCTACAATAAAAGCAGTTTTTAATTTAAACAAAACAATTTAAGGTCAGTATTATTAGCCTCTTTACGCAATATTTGTTTTCAATTGTCAACAGAACAATCCACTGTTTCTCCATTGAGTGGTCGCCGTCACCCACTCCCTCCTGCCTTGCGCGTAGTCGTGCATTTATACTTCCTCATGCTGTTTGTGTTGCTCTGCAATAACAAATCAGTAACACTAGCTGGCAGAAGGTTATTATGTTCCTTTTTGTCGAGTTTCTTCCCCGGTGTTTTGTTTTTCTAAACGGTACCTGAGGCTCCATTTACACTAGTGCGTTTTAGCTTTAAAACGGCGTTTCAGAGCAAAAACGATCCGCGTCCACACTAGCGTTTCTGAACATATCTCCGTCCACACTACTCCACCAAAAACGCATATCACGTTACCATTCGCGCACTCTGGGCATGCGCGTTCGAGTATAAACAGGAAGCATGTCTCTCACTCGGCATTTGGTTATTGTTAGTCAACAAACGCCGGTTGAACAATGAACGCGATGGCAAAGAAAGCAAGAGAGGTGTTTTTGTGGACAGACGACGAGTTCGAGTTGTTACTAAACGTAACAAATGAATAACTGCACAATGCCGCCTAAAACAGACAATAGTGCAAGCAACGCTCCCATTTCTGTGTCCATGTTGTTGTTTACAGTGAAGGCTGGTCTGCTGTCTTCCGCTAGCGTTAAAGCCATGTGTTATAGTCATGTGGTAGAGGCTTGACGAATAAGGGAAGGATACGCAATGACACAAAAGCTCCAATCAGGTAGTGAATCTCAGCAGCCCTGCCTCCGTTTTCAAATGTCTCCGTTTTCCCTCATCCACACTGAGACGGCCACTCCATTTCCAAAACGCTCCGTTTCAAAAACGCTATGGCGTAACCGTAGCAAAACGTATGCGTTTTAGTTTGAAAACGCATAAGTTTTCTTACGGTTACGTCATCCGTAACCGTATAAAACAGCCTTTACTAAACCCTAATACACTCCAACTCAAACCTCTATTTTAAAGACATTATTTTTATACTGATGTGTAAACGGGGCCTGAATGTACTAGTAGCTAAAACTCGCTCATTTTGAAGCGGGAATCAGCAGGCGTGGAACAGCTTTAATTCTAAGGTAAACACAAAACATCAGTCTACATCTGGAGCTCCTTCACGGGACTCGACAGTTGTAAATACTCGCTCCATCGGGCTCTCAGCACCGCACCACACTTGTCACTGATACCGTTTCGTTTTGACGTGTAGCTACAGTTTTTGAGAGGCGTGTGTCAGTTTCTACGCTCGATGCAGAAGTATAAAACAGCCTTTACTTGCCTAATGAACCTTATTAACCTTGTTAGATCTTTAAAATAAAAATGATAATAAATAATAATAATAATTCCTTACATTTTTTGAGAATTTTTTATAAGGAGAGTACTTTGATGGACACTTTAAAAAGGATACCACCAGGGAAAATCTAAAATTATTCATCAATAATTGAACTGAACAATCATATTTAACTTTGAATCTATTTTTGTGTGAATTTGATCTAATTTTATCTTGTATATCTATATGTAAGTAACTTTGTTATTGTAATACGAATTTGTTTTTATCATGTAATATTTTATGTACATCCATAATCCATTAAATAGCCATAAGTTGCTGATGATGGGTCGGGTAGTTTAAACAGTAGGCTACAAATAATTAATTTGTTATGAATTAATTAATTATTCATAAATAATTAATTCCTTTCTGCCTATGACGACGATGCCATCGTCCATTGCGATGTTTCACATTAGACATCGTACAATGCCAAATTGGTCGACATCGCCCAACCCTAATACACTCCAACTCAAACCTCTGTTTTAAAGACAGTATTTTTATATTGATGTAAACTTCTTTCTTCTTTACAAAAAAGAAGCTGCTTATATTCACAGAACTGTGTTTAAACCCCTTATCAAAGTGTTTTTTGCATAATAGGTCACCTTCAGTGTGTTATCCCAAATACAGACATCCATTAATTTCTTGATGTGCTTTCTATGCTTTCAGGTAATCAACCAATCCAAAGCGAGATTCAACCCGAGTATCAGCATGATCAAGAAGTGCATTGAAGTTCTTATCGACAAGCAGTACATCGAGCGAAGCCAGAGCTCTGCGGATGAGTACAGCTATGTGGCATAAAACCATATTAATTTAATAAACAACAAAAGAAAAGCGCCGTAAAGCGAGAACGGTAAACGTTTGTTTTATTTTCGGCTCCGGCACTCAACCATCGGATTGAATCGGGACTCTGTGCCTCCATCTTTGTTCAAAAAAAAAGGGCCTCCGAGTAGCTGGACAGTCATTAAACAAACCCCAATCCTTCCCTCTTCTGATTTTAAGCTGTTTACATCACCAGTGCCACGCCGAGCGCGTCTTGAGAAAAGAGAAATGCCTATAGCTGTCGAGCGTTAAAGGATTATACATTTTTAGACGTAACCGTACAAGAGAAAGCGAGCGAATGAAATGCATCACATAGAAGCGAACCAAGTCAACGGCCGGATAAATCCAACCACGCTTTCTTTTCTCACATTGCAGTTGTTGTGTGTATTTTTTTTAATGTATCAAAGTAAAAAAAACGGAAATATTGTAATAAAACCGGTATACTGATAATTGCATTTACTTTCAAGATATTAAACGGGAAAAAAAAACACAAAAAACAAATATGAGGTGACAAACATGATTCTGCTGCTTGTCAAATAAACAAATAAAAAACATACTTTTTCGTAAATGTTTTAAGAAGGATGACTCTATCACGAGTAGTCTTTTATTTTATTTTATTTTTAAAGAATTTTTCTGAATTCATGTCTGAAACATCATATTTAAGATCATTTTAAGTGGAAATTTGTGATAAGCGGAGGCTGTTTTCATGGTGTATGTCAGAAAATTGTGTGAAAAGTCTTTGTCACCTATCCAAGTTTTAGGAAGAACAAATAATAAGTGGACTTCTAGTTGATCATTTGGTATCAGAAGTGGACTATATGAAAGGCAAAGGCCTCTAGATTACGCTTATTTTACCAAATAAATATGATCATGCTTTTTTTAATTATTTAACAAGGACAGTAAGGTCTGACTCTGCTTAGACTAAAGTCTCATCACTGAACAGAAATAATGTCCAGTATAGAATATAAAGTCCTGCTGCAGTGGAGACAGAATGAATATTGTGTCTGACTCCATCATGAGCTTGGAGGACTGCATCCATACATCTCTGACATGACTCAAATCACTGATTACAAGGCGTCCGCAAGGTCCTAAATTGTCTTAAATCTCAAAATCTAAATTTTAGGCCTTAAAAAAGGTCTTAAATCTTCTTAAATATTGTGCTGTCGGTATCAAATCTTTTCTAAGCAGGTCTTAGTTTTCCTTTGTTCATGTATTGCTACCCAATCTGGCCAAATCCTATACAGTCACCAACAATCCATTTCAAGAAAACTTTAAACTTTTTATTTAAAATGGTCATTTTTAACTCTATTTATCATAATGATTAAATTGTTTTCCTTACAATAGCATTTAATAGTGCTCCGTGTGTATACTGCTGAGGACACCGACCTGGACAGATTGTTGTGCATAGACTTATTTAACTGTAGGTTTTAAAACTTTTAAAACATTTGTTCATTTTTTTATTATTATTTTAAAGAAAGTACATTAAAATAGGCTGCTTAGAAATATCTAAAATATTTTAATTATTTATTATTGTATTAAATGTATTAAATAATAATAACTTTTTTGATAGGGCAAATAAGTGTTTTTTTATTTTATTTATTTATTTTTATCTGGGCCATTTGAAAAATACCTTAGCCTTTAGCCCTATATGAGTCTTAAATTTCATTCATAATGGTCTTAATAATGTTTTAAATTTAACTTGGTGAAATGTGCAGAAACCCTACATTGATAAAGTCATCTGAAAAGGCAAAGAAAACATTCTTGCTGGACTTCAAAAGTTGATAGATTCATCTTCAACGCCTCCTCCTTCATTTACCCCGGACATGCTCAATAATGTTCATATCTGGTGACTGGGCTGGCCAATCCTGGAGCACCTTGACCTTCTTTGCTTTGATGTGGAGGCTGAAGTATGAGAAGGAGCGCTATCCAGCTGGAGAATTGTCCCTCTCCTGTGGTTCGTAATGTAATGGGCAGCACAAATGTCTTGATACCTCAGGCTGTTGATGTTGCCATCCACTCTGCAGATCTCTCCCCATACTGAATGTAACCCCAAACCATGCTTTTTCCATCACCAGTTGCTCTTAGAACTGGGATCGACGACAAGACTTTAGTCAGGTAGTGTATATTTTTTCATCTTTACCAGCTAATTAGATATACACAAATTATTTTGTGTTTTTGTGGATGGAAGGGCATCCACCGCAATAAAAAAACATAATAATTGGCGGTTCATTCCACTGTGGTGACCCCTGATAAATCGGACAAAGCTTAAGGATAGTGGATTTTATGTTTCTGATCTGAATGCGCCTGAATTATGACTCCATAACTCCCCAATCTTTCTTTTAATGTGCCAAAATATTCCAGTTTGATCTTCCAGTTAGTCAAAAGAGCTTTTATTGGCTAGATAAGATTATTCTAGTGAGCCAAGCTGTTATCTTTTAACTCTTATGTGTACTGTTCAAACTGACTACCTTTTCGTTATGTTAGTGGCTGTTTTTTCCCCCGTTGACTTCCATTATAACCACATTTTTTAAATAGCATAGTCTTGATACCATGTAATCATGCATTATTTATTATTGGTAGTTCTCCCTGTTGGGAAGAGGTTTTGTACTATACTATGCAGATTATAGTGTGCATTAATACACTTACTGTGTTTACTGTGTTCTGAGAGCTAAGAAGCTTATATTGATTTTTCTCAGGCATACCAAGGTAGGTTTTACCTCTTCACAACAGGGAAAACCAGCAACAATCGAGAATGCTTGATTATATGGTGTCATGAGTTGCTATTAAAGAAATGTGATTACAATGGAAGTCAATTGGGCAAAAACAGCCCCCAACATAATGAAAGGGTAACCAAATTGCATAGTGTATTGTTGAGTTTTGTTTTAACTATTCAAAGTAATTTCCCAAAATATGTGTCAAAATAAGTTTTGTCAGCAAAAACCATCCTATTTGCTGAAACACAGAGATAGTTGAGGCCAAATTAAACCTCAAAAATCACCCCAGAGTGGATGGAAACATCCCCAATGGCACACAAGGGTTAATCTTAAAAACCTGTCACCATTCACTGCCATTATATGAATCACCAAGCACCACAGATTCAGCTCAAAATCTTCTTTAATTTTGTACTGAAGAAAAAAGGTCACCTTCATCTTGGGTGACCTGTGTTTTTTTTATTTTTTTATTATTGTTTTTACTTTATGAGCATCCCTTAATTGTAAATTAAAATTGTTTGTTTTTGTTATGAAATCACCCTCATATTGCATTGCAGACGTAATATGTATCTTATGAATGTGCTAGCTGTTATACACTCACCGTCCACTTTACTTGTACCATGTTGGACCTCTTTTGCCTTCAGAACTGCCTTAATCCTTTGTGGCATAGATTCAACAAGCTACTGAAAATATTCCTCAGAGATTTTGCTCCATATTGACATGATAGCATCACACGGTTGCTGCAGATTTGTGAGCTGCACATCCATGATGCCAATCTCCCGTTCCACCACAATAATGCTCTATTTGATTGAGATCAGCTGACTGTGGAGGTCATTTGAGTACAGTGAACTCATTGTCATGTTCGAGAAACCAGTCTCAGATGATTGAGCTTTATGACATGGTGTGTTATCCTGCTGGAAGTAGCCATCAGAAGATGGAGACACTGTGCTCATAAAGGGATGGACATGGTCAGCAACAATACTCAGGTAGGCTGTGGAGTTGACACCATGCTCAATTGGTACTAATGGACCCAAAGTGTGCAGAAAATCTCCCCCACACCATTACACCACCACCACCAACCTGAACCGCTGATACAAGGCAGGATGGATCCATGCTTTCATGTTGTTGATGCCAAATTCTGACCCAAATGTGTGAGCAGAAATGGAGACTCATCAGAGCAGCAACGTTTCTTCAATCTTCTATTGTCCAGTTTTGGTGAGTCTGTGTGAATTGTAGCCTCAGTTTCCTGTTCTTAGCTGACAGGAGCGGCACCCGGTGTGCTCTTCTGCTGCTGTAGCCCATCCGCCTCAAGGTTGGACGTGTTGTGTGTTCAGAGATGCTCTTCTGCAGAGCTCGGTTGTAACGAGTGCTTATTTTAGTTACTGTTGCCTTTCTATCAGCTGGAACCAGTCTGGCCATTCTCCTCTGGGTATATGCGCCCACAGAACTGCCGCTCACTGGATATTTACTTATTTCCGAATCATTCTCTGTAAACCCTAGTGATGGTTGTGCATGAAAATCCCAGTAGATCAGCAGTTTCTGAAATACAGCAGCCCGTCTGGCACTAACAACCATGCCACGTTCAAAGTCACTTAAATCCCCTTTCTTCCCCATTCTGATGCTCAGTTTGAACTTGATCGTCTTGACCATGTCTACATGCCTAAATGCATCGAGTTGCACAATGATTTTGTTGTATAATATTGATGGATGTTAGACTGACACCTATTTGCGTGGTTGAAGCATTACACGAATGTCATCTATTATTAATTACTAGGGATGTAACGGTATTGTAAATACCGTCATACCGCAATATTAAATTTTTTCGATATTACCGAAGTCGCATGACTCGGTAAAACTATAGGTCTTCTGAGAAAATTTGCTCAGGCGAATGAAGCGAACGGGAGCTAGCTGAAACTTCATTTCCCATCAGCCCCGGCGTGGCCATAATCCTTTGCGGTCTGTTGTCGCTACAGATCCAGTAATGCGGAAATGGAGTGTGCTGCTAGTAGCGGAGATGAAAAAAAGATGGAAATGATCGAACCTAAAGCGGGTGTTGTCGCCGCGCGCGTGCTGAATAGCGGTGCTGTCGCGCGCGTTCTGATCAGCTGTGTTGTGGCGCGCGTATTGTAAAGCGCCGAGGGGGGGTTGAGCGCGCATACTCGAGAGGTGTTGTCGCGCGCCTACTGAAGGGCTGGACTGGACGGAGGTTGTGTCGCGTCGCGGGGGCACTTTTGATCGTTTTGGAAGGGCATTTTCTATCCAAGACTAAAAAGGGCATGTGCACTGCACAGGTTGAGCCCTATGTGTGCACGTGCCTGCAAATTGGGGAATACGACTAATAACAGTCATGGGGACTGCAGAAACACAGCACACTGTTCAGATTGATGCAGACATTGACTTGTACCGCAAAGAGATCTCTATCTCACTCATGGTTTGTCTTCTCAAGTGGGGGAAAGACAATGCACAACGTTACCCACTGCTGTCAACATGGACCAAGTCATATCTCTCTTGTCCCAGAAACCTCAGTCCCAAATGAGAGGGGTTTTTTCTGTTGCAGGGGACATTGTAAATACCCAGAGATCCCAGCTTTTACCAGATTATAGTTATATGATAATTTTCCTTTAAACCCATCTCTATCTAAGTGAGTGATTAAATGTTAAATGTGATGAGTTTTCAACAATACTAAATTGAAACTTTATTTTTTTACATGGTTTAATAATTTTTTGTTATTAAAATTGAAGTTCCTGTTTCAAAGCTAACAGATAGATGGCTAATTTGTATGTCATTGACACTTTTGGCACTTTTTTGGAGTATTTTCAAAAGTTTTTTTTTCCTGTAAATGATTCAATAAATACCGTACCGTGACATTCATACCGAGGTATTACCGTACCGTGAAATTCTGATACCGTTACATCCCTATTAATTACACATCTAAAAAGCCAATACCATGGCAAAATCCCAGAAATGAGCTGCATTCCAGCTCCATCATCCTTACTAAATGTTTTTTGGTAACACTTTACACAGCAATAAGGTTACTGGTTCGAGTCCTGACTGTGTCAGTTGTGTTTCTGTGTGGAGTTTGCATGTTCTCCCCGTGTTAGCGTGAGTTTCCTCTGGGAGCTCCTGTTTCCCTCACAGTCCAAATACATGCACTATTGGGGAGTTGATGAACTAAATTGGCTGTGGTGTACGAGTATATGGGTGTTTTCCAGTATTGGGTTGCAGCTGGAAGGGCATCCGCTCTGTAAAACATGCTGGAATAACTGGCGGTTCATTCCACGGTGGCAACCTCTGATAAATCAGGGACTAAGCTGAAGAAAAATGAATGAACTATTGAAGTCCCTGCTGAAAAATCCAGCTTAAACCAGCCTAGGCTGGTTGGCTGGTTTTAGCTGGTTATTCAGCCTGGTTTTAGAGGGGTTTTGGCCATTTCCAGGCTGGTTTTTCCAGCCATTTCCAGCCTGGTCTTAACTGGTCAGGCTGGAAAATGACTAGCCAAATCAAGCTAAAACCAGCTTGACCAGCCTGGTTTAGGCTGGGTATAGCTGGTTTTGGCTGGACTCCCAGCTTCGCTAGGCTGGTCAAGCTGGTTTTAGCTGGTCATCTCCCAGCCTGACCAGCTAAGACCAGGCTGGAAATGGCTGGAAACCTGCCTGGGAGTGGCCAAAACCCCTCTAAAACCAGCCTGGTCGACCAGCTACAACCAGCCTAGGCTGGTTGAAGCTGGATTTTTCAGCAGGGGTAATACACTTTATCTGCTTCTTCATTGTATTTTGAAGTGACTCCCGGTCCTCCAGATGAGCTTCAGGGATTTGCTAACCTGGGATTCACTCTAAGCAAATCTCTCTCAGCAGCGGTTATTCACGCCTAATGAGAGCCACGTGGAGAAGTCTGACCAGATCAACATGTCTACAGTGAGTGTGTCATCAGAAAAACATCCCCCTACAATATACATCACCTTACGTAAGCCTGACATTTTGCAGATTCACACATGCCAAGTCACTGCATGCTGAAGAAGGTCAGATATCTTCATTACAAGCGATTACAGGATAAGAACTGAATAATTTCACCACAAGGGGGCGTCATGCATTATAAAAAAGTAGAAATAATTGGGGAGCGAGTTTATTGGTATGCAGAGTAAGATGTCTAATTATTTACACTGATATATGTGTTTGTTCTTTCAATAGTGACTGAATATTTAATATATGTGTCTGCACGTGGGTTTGATGCTCCATTATGTGTCTAGACAGACTCCAGCCAGCTGGGCAGGAATCCCTCATCAGTCCAGATGTTTGTCTCCATGGAAACAGCTGCCACGTTTGTTTCATTCGCTTTCCTTATACTTCATTTAAACGAATTTATTTAATTTACCTACGATTTTCCTCATTTCTTTTGCAAACTTAATTAACTGATAATAATTTCATTTTATTATTTTCACTTCAACTTTATTGATAGATTTTTTTCCCCAAAATTCACAAATATCACACAGTTTAGAATATTATTGTTATTGCATTATTATACTATGATATATATTAAATTATAATAAATAAAATAATGTTAGTGAACTGATAAACTAATCCAGTGTTTCTCAACCACGTTCCCGGAGGACCTCCAACACTGCATGTTTTGGATGTCTCCTTTGTCTGTCACACACATTACAGGTCTTTCAGTCTAATCAGCTAATGAGCTGATGATCTGAATCAGGTGGGTTTGGTCAAGGAGACATAGAAAATGTGCAGAGCTGGTGGTCCTTCAGGAACGTGGTTGAGAAACACTGTGTTAAAGCATTGTCCACTTTGAAATGGTGAACAGCAGCTATATTGAATCACCACAACCTGTTTATTTAAAGTGTTTTACTATAGCATGGGTGTCCAAACTTCGTCCTGGAGAGCCCGTGTCCTGCTGAGTTTAGCTCCAGCTTGCTTTAACACGCCTGCCTGGAAGTTTCTAGTATATCTAGTAAGTGCTTGATTAGGTGTGTTTGGATAGGGTTGGAGCTAAACTCTCCAGGACAGCAGACCAAGTTTGGACACTTCTGGTCTATATACTATACTATACTATACTATACTATACTATACTATACTATACTATAGTATACTATACTATACTATACTATACTATACTATACTATAGTATATAGCAGGAGTGTCAATGAATCAGGTGTGTTTGGTTTAAGAGACATGGTAAATATGCAGAGTTCGAGGTCCTTCAGGAACATGGTTGAGAAACACTGGTTAAGTAATGTCCACTTTGATAAGTTGATTAGCAACTATATAGAATTATCACAGAAGTTTAATTCAAGTTTTGCTATAGTATAATTAAAAAACACAATAGTATTATATATAGTACTTTTTTCCATTATATAGGCTATTCTATAATTTTTTAAACCCATACTATAGTATGATCTATAGCAGGGGTGTCCAAACTTGGTCCTGAAGCGTCGGTGTCCTGATAAGTTTAACTGCAACTTGCTTCAATGCACCTGCCCGGAGGTTTCCAGTATATCTAGTAAGTGCTTAGGTGTGCTTGAATAGGGTTGAAGCTAAACTTTCCAGGACACCGGACTGAGTTTAGACACCCCTGGTCTATACTATAATATATATATATATATATATATATAATATATATATATAATATATATATATATATATAATATATATATATATATATAATATATATATATATATATATATATATATATATATATATATATATATATATATATATATATATATATATATAATAAATATATATATTATAACACACACACACACACACACACACTCTATAGTTGTAGAAAACGACAGTATTGGGTCATTTTGGTTATGTCACTAGTAACAAATTGTATCACCAAAACTACTTCACTATAATGTGGTTCAAAAACATTATATTATTTACTAAAAATATATGTTTTTCATCTTGTATTTTCAGTTTGTAGTAGTAAATAAATCATGTAGTCAAACTACTATGCTAGTAACTGCTGGAATGAACAAAAAGAAGCAGGGACTGTCCGCAACGCCACTGCATACCATTCCATACTACACTATACTATACTATACTTTAAGATACTATACTAAAATATAATATTAGTTAACTGATAGACTAATTAAGGGCGAAGCAGTGGCGCAGTAGGTAGTGCTGTAGCCTCACAGCAAGAAGGTTGCTGGTTCGAGCCTCGGCTCAGTTGGCGTTTCTGTGTGGATTTTGCATGTTCTCCCTGCGTTTGCGTGGGTTTCCTCTGGGTGCTCCGGTTTCCCCCACAGTCCAAAGACATGCGGTACAGGTAAAATGGGTAGGCTAAATTGTCCGTAGTCTATGAGTGTGTGTGTGAATGTGTGTGTGGATGTTCCCAGAGATAAGTTGCAGCTGGAAGGGCATCTGCTGCGTACAAACTTGCTGGATAAGTTGGCGGTTCATTCCACTGTGGCGACCCAAAAAGGTACTAAGCCGACAAGAAAATGAATGAATAAACTAATTAATACTGTAGTATACTTGATTGTTTACTACAGTAGTCAGTGGTGTATTGTAGTATAATATACACTACAGTTGTAGAAAACTACAGTATTGGGTCATTTTTTTGTCACTAGCAGCAACTAGAACTACTAAACCTACTTCATTACAATGTGTTTCAAAATATATTATACTGAGGCTTTAGTTGTAAATAAATCATGTTGTCAAACTACTATGCTAGGAACCGCTGGATTGAACAAACAGAAGCAGTACATGAGTGCTGTTGCTTTAACACACCTGCCCGGACGTTTCTAGTGTGAGTGCTTGATTAACAGCTTCAGGTGTGTTTAATTAGGGTTGGAGCTAAACTAATGTTTGGATACCCCTGTTCTATACTTCATCATGCCATACTATACTATACTAGTGAACTGATAAACTAATTAATACTGTAGTGTACTTAAGTGTTTTGGTGTATTGTAGTTTAAAATACCTATAGTTGTAAAAAAAAACTACAGTATTGGGTCATTTATTTGTCACTAGTAGCAACTAGAATTACTAAAACTACTTCACTATAATGTGGTTCAAAAACATTATATTATTTAGTAGAAATACTTGTTGTTTTCATCTTGTGTTTTGAGTGTGTGGTGGTAAATAAATCATGTAGTCAAACTACTATGCTACTAACTGCTGGAATAAACAAACAGAAGAATAAACGAGAGTGCTAGTTGGTTATCTGTGTCCATGTGTGTGTGTGTGTCAACGTTTGTGTGTGTGTGGGAGAGAACGAGTCAGGGTGAGTCTCAGTCAGTCAGTCAGTCAGATCAGACAGAGCGTGTTGAAGCCCAACCCACGGTCACTTCAGTCGAGACGAACACTCGCACTCAAGCCGAACAGGTGGTCCAGACCCACCTGAGGAGCTCGACATGAGGATTTACCGCGTTCTTCACCTGTGTGGATACAATGTGGCCGTCGCTTTCTGAAGCTGAATAGTCCCGAAGAGTTCACACTTCACGCGCTTCCCTGTGCGGAGTCTCCGGGAATATCGGGCGAATATGAAAGTGACAGTATGCTTTGGCAGGACCCGGGTGGTCGTTCCCTGCGGGGATGGGAATATCAAAATACACAATCTTATCCAGCAAGCCACAATGCGCTACAAAAAAGCCATAGCCAAGGTAAGTGAAGTGTTTGTCTTATTAACAGCGTGACAACCGAGGCTCTCAACATGGCGCTTTTTCTGGAGAAAGAGATTGAAAGAAAGAGCAGGGCTGAAGATATCGTCGGTATTCCTGAAGAATGTGACTGAGATGTTTGTTTATAGATTTGCGTTTCTGATTGTTGCGTCATTGCGTCTTGTTTGGTAGAATTGTTGCAACTTCGGGCACGCGCGCGTGTGCGTCCGGGTTCAGAACTCATCCAGAAGGACTGTGTTTGTGTTATAACCGCTCGTGTGTTATTAAAACACGCATTACAGCGTTTGTGAGAGAACAGGGAGTGTTGGAAGAAGTTTTAGAGGCTCGGATGGAGGGCAAGGACTGTGGAAGTGTGCTCAGTTTAAAGCTTGGATAAACACTCATGTAGCCTAGTCAGTGTTAAAGGGTTAGTTCACTCAAAAATCAACATTCTGTCATCATTTACTCATCGTTTCAGCTCTTTTTGACTTTTTTTCTGCTGATGAACATACAAGGAAAAATTGTAAAGAAATCTGAAAACCTGTAACAATTGACTTACAAAGTATTTGTTTGAAAGTAAATGGTTTAAGGTTTTCAGCTTTCTTTAAAATATCTTTAGTGTGCAAGAGAGTAAATAAACTTATATAGTTTTGGAAACACTTGAGGGCGAGTAAAATTTTAATTTAACACAGCTAAAAATTCTGTCACCATTCACTTGTCAAACTGAGAGTCTTATGTTGAACCCAGAAGAAGATATTTTGAAAAATGCTGAAAATCTGTAACCATTGACGTCCATATAGTATTTGTTTTTACTATTGTATGAAAGTCAGTGGTTACAGGTTTCTAACATTTTTTGAAATAACTTATTTTGTGTTTTACAAGACAAAAAACACACTTAAGGGTAAGTTAATAGTGAGTAAATTGTCATTTCGAGTAAACAATCCATTTAATCTGTTTTACAATCACTTTCTAATGCTTTATATTGTATTGTTTTGGATTATAATTAGTTGTCTGGCTTAGCAGATAGGTTGTAGTCTTTCACAGAGTTGATTGACAGGGATCTGATGGTCAGAAAAACCAGGAAATAAGGATTATCCATGCTAAAAAGGTGATAAACAAGGTGTTCAAATGGGTTTGTAATGGTTGAAATTATATTGGTTTTAATAGAACTGTATTCATCCTGTGGCTCTATGCTGGTATTGCTTTGGCATTCTGTTAGTGAGATGTTTAAAACCAATAAATCCTAATGGAAAATGTGCCAAAACACACTTCAAATCAATTAAATGTTCAGGTTTTAATGGTTAAAAATGAATGTTCGTAATGGTTTTAGGGGTATTTGTATTGGAAACCATTTTACAGATGAAAACAAAACAAAACAAACAATTCTAATTATAACCCCTATAAATACTTTAAGTGATACTTAGAACCTACTATATTTTCAAGCAGAGTGCTTTATAGCATTATATAGGTGTTATATATCACTAAAAGTGGCTCATTATCATACGGGAAACACTTATTTATAGTGTATGTAGTGCTGCTTGGCACCTTAACCACTCCTAAATACTGTTGGAGAACCAAAATAGCTTCCATATAGCAATTAAATTGGTTCTTCTATGAAATTGAGCCAAAGAACCCAAAACTTTAGGGTGTCGTAGTGTGACATGGAAATGTGACGAAATTTCCATATTTTATTTATTTTTAATTCAGCCGTGTAGCCGGTTAATCAGTTACTAGGCTGAAACATCCAGTCTCACCACCTTACGCTGGTCAAAACAATTGTTAGCTGGTGTTATTGGAGCTTAAAGAGGGTTTTTAGCTGATCATTAGCTGGTATACAAGGTGCTAGCAAACTTCAACTCGCATGTTCAGAGCTTGTGTGGGATCAAGCTAGCTATAGTGGTGTTCAATTTATGAGCAAATTGCTATTTAGAGTGTTTTTTCCATTGATAAAGTGCTTTTTCCACAATTGTTGAACAGCTTGATTAATTTCTTTCATTATTTTAATAATGGGCAATTTTGTTATCCAGAAGACCTTTTTGGAAAGCCATTGAACAATTAATCTGCTTATTTTCTGCCTGTTTCAAACTTTTCTTTCACTACTGATGGGTTCAGACTTCTGAATAGTTTTGTCTGCTGTTGTGATCACTGTGTCGGGTTATGTGACTCCTAAATTCATCTGTTGTGACCAACAAAACACAATCACTGCTTGCCATTATAATGATCTGTGTGATGTCATCAAGAATTAGTAATATGTGTTCTAGTTCCTGTTGGAAAATTCAAGAGTTTCTCAATCAGCTGGTAGACCGGTATGCATGTTCAAAAACTGGCCTGGCCAGCGTACACTGGTGAAAACAGCTGCTACCACTGGTTAACTGGACGGTTAAAGTTACCTACCCAGGTAAAAAAAGTGCACTAAAATGCACTTTACTTAAGTATACTTACTACACGTTTCAGTAATGTACTAAAAGTGCTTTATTTTCGCACACTAATTTTGTACTTAATGTACTAAAAGATAGTATTAAGTATATGTTAAGATAAACTTAATCCCATCTAAGTGCACTCAACTGTGCTATTTTGAGACACCCTAAAAATGAACTAAAATGTACTTTTAACATACTATATCTGTATTTTAAAAATATATATATTTAGTTACAACTAGAAATACACTTGAACTCTACTTTTAAACATTTATAAATATATTTATGACTAATTTAAAGTATAGTAGTAATATATTAAAAGAATATACAAATTGTAAAAAAAGTGTGCTAAATACTGTATTAAAAGTGCTCTATTTTCCCAAACTAATTTTGTATCTAATATACTAAAAATTTGTATTAAGTACATTTTAAGATAAACTTAAGTACATCTAAGTGTACTCAACTGTGCTATTATGAGACACCATGAAGCTGATCTAAAATGTGCTTTTAACATACTAAATATTTATTTAAAGAGTATATTTTGAAGGGATGCTGTGTGTACAAAGAAAACAGCATCTGTGCTTCATCAAAACAATTTAATCTTTCTGTGCAATAAACCACAAGTCCAAAAATACCTTATGGGAGGAACAAAAACTGAGAACACAAAAATATAAATAAGATGCAACATTGCAGCACATATATCAAATGTAAAGACATTTTGGGAAAATGTTCTTCTACTACAATACATTACTAATAGATTTTTTATATATTAACTTATTTTAAACTTAGGATTAGTATGTAAACAGTGTACTAAAAATCAACTAATGTTTAAAGCATTTAAAGCACACTTTTGAAAAACACTCTAATAAAAGTCTTTTGGATGTTTTTTCTGTAGTGTACTTTATTGTAGTACACTAAACATTTATTTAAGTATTACTGGTATTTAGTATAATTTTGTCAAGTGTACTAAAGTCCTACTGAAGTATAAACATACTTTTAATTAGTATATTTATAGTGTAAAACCATCAAACTTTTATTTATTTATTTTTTTATTTTTTTTAATATAATTTTTGCAGACAGAAAAACAAAGAACAGACAGACAAACCCATCATGAGACAATAATCTGTGCAAAATGTAAAATAAAGCAAGAAACAAGAGAAAATGACAACATACAAAACATATATGACCTACAAAAAGACGGCAATGAATGTAGAGAAAAAAAAAGCCTTACAAATCTTCAGAAATTACAGAAATACACTCAGTCTTTATGGTGTTGCAGAAAAAGAAAGACTGGATCCCACATTTTATCAAATTTCGTAGAGTTCCCAGAGGTGGTATATCTTATTCTTTCCAAATGTATAGTGGAGGTGAGTCCGAGAAGCCAAGCAGAAAAAAGAGGCCTGACATTTTGTTTTCCAAAAGCAAAGGATAATTTTTTTAGCTATGATCCTGCCATACTGACCAGGTAACCGTACATTTCGGTTGAGAGTCTCAAGAAAATCTGACCAGCCAAAAATTGCTATCATTGGGTCAGGGAGTAAAACACAATCGTAAACCTTAGCATCAATCTTTTATTTTACACAAAAAAATAACAATGTACTAAAAATGTATTTGCGGGTATTTTAATTGCATTTAATTATAGATTTTTTTCGCCTGGGTATAGCTGATTATTAGTGAACTGCGTTATAGCAAGGGACCACTGTATTTAGTCATGTGTTGACTTTAAAATCTTTAAAAAGTTCTGCACTCCTCTTGATTCAGGATTTGGTTTAAGAACTTCAATGCATTGCATTGTTGATTTTGGCTCAAGCTTGTGAGCAGAAAGGTTTATCCACGTCTTAGTTTAGCGATTGAGAAGCTTTGAGAAAGTTTTGCCAGTGGAGTTGGACTCTAGCATTATTGGACTGCTGAAGTTTGAGGGCGGTAGATAAACTCGTCTGTGTTCCAGATGAATAGCTGTTTAATTATTTAGCAGATCTTTTTTTCTTGTCAGTCGTTGTGTTGAGATTGTTGTTAAAGGGGCATTAGGTTCCTGCGTGTCTCGAGTTGGCATCAGTGCTAGTATTCCTGCCCAGATCTCAACAATCTGCTGTTAACATTGGCATCACGTCCGAGCACTTCTGTTCCGCAGGCCTCGAATACTTTGGTGAGCCAGCTCTAGTAAGTGCCAGGATTTCTCTTTCACAGAGCGCAGATTTGAATATACTTGTGAATTGATTGGATGGATTCTCTCTTGTTTTGTAGTATATTTGTTTGCAAATACGCTCGAGACATCTTTTAAAGGGATAGTTTAAACAAAAATAAACATGTATTCACTCTGTGGTTCACTGACCTTCACTGTTTAAAAAAATATGCTTGCTTCCACACAATCGATTTGAGTTGGAACAACATAACATAATTAAGTTAACCTAATTTAACTGGATTGAACATAAAACAATTAAGTAAAAACTGAAGAATTGAGTTCATTTTAAATAAATAGTTTGAATAAACAGCAGACGTCAGTGTTTATAAGTTTCTTTCTTCTGTTGAACACAAAAGGTGATAGTTTGGAGAAAGCTGAAAAACAGTAACCGTTGACTTTCTGCA